ATTTTGAATTATGCAAGAATATCTTTGTAATTTTTATCCGAAGGTTAAATTTAATATCCACTTTAAAAATCCCATAAACGGATAGACTTATCATCACAACCAGATGCTTAAGTAGTTCCATCAGGGGAGAAGCAAACTGAGTTACATTTACTATGACCATCCAGTTTGGCTTTTTATAATGCTGTCTTAACATCCCATAAACGGATTGTATTATCATAGCTACCAGATGCTAAAGTAGTTCCATCAGGAGAGAAGCTAACTGATGAGACACCATAACTATGACCATCTAATTTGGCTTTTTATTATCCTGTCTAAATATTCCATAAACGGATAGATTTATCATAACTACCAGATGCTAAAGTAGTTCCATCTGGTGAGAAGCTTACTGAGTAGACATAGTGATCATGACCATCTAATTTGACTTTTTATTATCCTGTCTTAGCATCCCATAAACGGATAGTTTTATCATAACTACCAGAAGCTAAAGTTGTTCCAACTGGTGAAAAGCATACTGATCGGACATAATTACTATGACCATTTAATTTAGCTTTTTATAAACCTGTTTAAACATCCCATAATCGGATAGACTTATCTCCACTGCCAGAAGCTAATGTTGTTCCATCTGGTGAAAAGCATACTGAATAGACATAATGATCATGACCATTTAATTAGGCTTTTTAATTTCCTGTTTTAACATCCCATAAACAAATAGACTTATCTTCGCTACCAGAAGCTAAAGTTTTTCCGTCTTGTGAGAAGCATACGGACCAGACAGAATCACTATGACCATCTAACTTGGCTCTTTATTATCCTGTCTTAAAATCCCATAAACGGACAGAGTTGTCTAATGCTAAAGAAGTTCCATCAGGTGAAAAACTTAATGACTTGATACAATTAAAGTGACCGTCTAATTAAGCTTTTTATTATCCTGTTTTAACATCCCATAAACGGATAGAATCATCCAAACCGCTAGATGCTAATGTAGTTCCATCAGGTGAAAAACTTAAAGACTTGATACAATAAAAGTGACCATATAATTAAGCTTTTTATTATCCTGTCTTCACATTCCATAAACGGATAGACTAATCATCACTACCAGAAGCTAAAGTTGTTCTATCTGGTGAGAAGCATACTGAATAGACATAACTAGTATGACCACCTAATTTTGCTAGTTATTTTCTTGTCTTAAAGTCCCATAAACGGATAGACTAATCATGACTACCAGAAGCTAATGTTGATCCATCTGGTGAGAAGCATACTGATGAGACTGAATCACTATGACCATAAAATTAAGCTTTTTATTACCCAGTCTTCACATTCCATAAACGGATTGACTTATCTCCACTGCCAGAAGCTAAAGTTGTTCCATCTGGCGAGAAGCATACTGATGAGACTGAATCACTATGACCATAAAATTAAGCTTTTTATTACCCAGTCTTGACATTCCATAAACGGATAGAATAATCCTCACTACCAGAAGCTATATTTATTCCATTTGGCGAGAAGCATACTGAATAGACAGCGCTAGTATGACCATCTAATTTTGCTAGTTATTATCCTGTTTTGACATCCCATAAACAGATAGACTTATCATAACTACCAGAAGCTAAAGTTGTTCCATCTGGTGAGAAGCATACGGATGAGACAGAATCCCTGTGACCATCTAATTAAGCTTTTTATAATGCTGTCTTAAAATCCCATAAACGGATAGACTAATCAAAACTACCAGATGCTAAAATAGCTCCATCTGGACAGAAGCTTGCTGTTGCGACAGAATCGCTATGACTATTTAATTTGGCTTTTTGTTATCCTGTCTTAACATCCCATAAACATATAGAATTATCAAGACTACCAGATGCTAAAGTAGTTCCATCTAGTGAGAAGCTAACTGATGAGACAGTAGCCCAATGACCATTTAAATTGGCTTTTCGTTATCCTGTTTTGACATCCCATAAACAGATTGATTAATCATGACTACCAGAAGCTAATGTTGATCCATCTGGTGAGAAGCATACTGATGAGACTGAATCACTATGACCATAAAATTAAGCTTTTTATTACCCAGGCTTCACAT